AAAAAAAAAAAAAGAATTCTGCAGGAAGAGGGTGTGGGGGTTGAAAGTCAGTGACCCAACTTCATTGTCCTGATGAAAAACCCAGGCTCAGAGAGATGACTTCATAATCTCACTTTATTTATTTAGAGTCAAAGTCTCATCCTTTTTTTTTTTTTTTTTTTTGAATTGGAGTCCCATTCTGCTGCCCAGGCTGGAGTGCAGTGGCATGCTGATAGCCACCACAGCCTCAACCTGCTGGGCTCCAGCGATCCTTCCGCCTCAGCATTCCAAGTAGCTGGAACTGCAGGCATGCGCCACCATGCCTGGTTAATTTTTTATTCATTTGTTTATTATGGAGATGATGTCTCACCAAGTTGCCCAGGCTGGTGTTGAACCCCTGGGCTCAGGCAGTTCTCTCGCCTCTGCCTCCCCAAGTACTGGGATTACAGGTGAGAGCCACCGCATCCAGCCTAATTTTTATTTTTTTAATTTTTATTTATTTTATTTTATTTTATTTTGAGTTGGAGTCTCACTCTGTTGCCCAGACTGGAGTGCAGTGGCCACTCCCGGCCACCGCAGACTCGACCTGCTGGGCTCCGGCGATCCTTCCGCCTCAGCCTTACGAGTAGCCGGAATTAAAGGCATGCGCTACCACGCCTGACTGATTTTTTGATTTATTGTAGAGATGAGATCTCGCCGCCCAGGCGGGTCTCGAACCCACAGGCTCAGGCAATCCACTCACCTTAGCCTCCCAAAGGAGCGGGATTACAGGCTGAGCCACTGAGCCTGGCTTAATTTTTATTTTTTGTAGAGTCTCGCTATATTGCCAAGCCTGGTCTAGAACTACTGGGTTCCAGCAATCTTCCCATCTTGGCCTCCCAAAGTGCTAAGATTATAGGTGTGAGCCACCATTTCCCGCCTAACATTATTTAACCTCTTTCCTTGTCTGAGGCATTCTGCCCTACACACACACACACACACACACACACATACACATACCACTTTGTACTCAAGCTGTTTCCTCCACGTGGAATGTCCTTCTACCTTCCTCACTCATTCTATTGTTTTTTTAAAAATATTTTTTAGAGATTGGGGTCTTGCTATGTTGCCCAGGCTGGTCTTGAACTTCCAGGCTCAAGTACTCCTCCCGCCTCAGCCTTCCAAAGTGCTGAGACTGTAGGCGTGAGCCGCAGCACTGGGCCTGCCATCAGAGCATATTCCAGTTAAGGAAATCGAAAAATTCCAGCTGGGCTCGGTGGCTCAGCCTGCAATCTTGCGCCTTTGGGAGGCTGAGGTGAGTGGATTGCTTGAACCCACGGGTTCGAGATCCGCCTGGGCCACTTGGCAAGACCTCATCTCTACAAGAAATCAAAAAATCAGCCGGGCATGGTAGCGCGCGCCTGTAGTTCCAGACACTCGGAAGGCCGAGGCGGAAGGATCACCGGAGCCCAGCAGGTCGAGGCTGCGGTGGCCGGGAGCGGCCACTGCACTCCAGTCTGGGCGACAGAGTGAGACTCCAACTCAAAAAAAAAAGAAAGAAAAATTCCTTCCCCTTCCTAGGATTCAGGCCCCCATCTCCTGTGCAAGTCGGGACAAAAGTCAGTCGTAGAACCATGGGTCTTGAGGACACTGGGGTAAAGACTCGGTGTGGGCACTTGCCAGCTTCATCCTCTACCTCCTTCCACCAGGAGAAGTGGCTCCCGTGCAAGGAACAGCATTCGACCTGAGGAAGCCCGTGGTGCTTGGTGGACACCTGCAGGGGTTCCACATCAACGGATTTGACCACAATTTCTGTCTGAAGGGATCGAAGGAGAAGCATTTTTGCGCAAGGTCAGGTACTTTTCACTTCTTGCCTCTGCAGGGAAGAAGAGACACCACCACCTCCTGCTAGGGGGCACTTTTCCTCCGGACATATCAATAGGAGGGTTTATGGCCAGGTGTGGTAGCTCACGCCTATAATCCTGGCACTTTGGGAGGCCGAGGAAGGAGGATAGTGTGGGGCCAGGAGTTTGAGACCAGCGTGAGAACATAGTGAGAACCTGTCTCTATAAAAAAATAATAATAATAGGCCGGCCTCAGTGGCTCAGCCTGTCATTCCAGCACTTTAGGGGGCCAAGGTGACTGGATTGGCTGAGCCCGCGGGTTCAAGACCAGCCCGGTCAATTTGGCAAGACCTCGTATCTACAATAAATAAAAAATTAGCAGGGTGTGATAGTGCACACCTGTAGTTCCAACTCCTTGGAAGGCTGAGGCTGAAGAATTGCTGGAGTCCAACAGGTCAACGCTGGGATGGCCGTGAGTGTGCCACTGTATTCCAGCCTGGGTGATGGAGTGAGACTCCGACTCAAAAAATAATAATAATAAATTAGACAGGCCTGGGGACATGTGCCTGTAGTCCCAGCTACTCAGGACACTGAGGCAGGAGGATCACTTGAATCCAGGCATTGGAGGCTGCAAGCCATCATCAACCTGCCGCACTCCAGACTGGGTGCAGTGGCTCATGCCTGTAATCCCAACATTTTGGAAGGCGGAGGTGAGAGGACTGCCTGAGCCTAGGTTCAAGACCAGCCTGGGCAACATGGTGAGACCTTGTCCCTACAATAAATCAAAAGATTAGCTGGGTACGGTGGTGCACACCTGTGGTTCCAGCTCCTTGCAAGACTGAGGCGGAGGGATCGCCTGAGCCCAGCAGGTTGAGGCCGCGGTGGCCATGAGTGTGCCACCGCACTCCAACATGGGCGACAGAGTGAAACTCCGACTCAAAAAGAGAATCTCAGCCCCTCAGGACCCTAACACCACCCACCTCCAACAGGGTTGCTCCCCCAACCCTGTTTCCCAGCTAGTGCCAAGATCAGAGTGAGAGGTTGCTTCCGAGGGTCCTCAGCCCAGCCTCGGAGACTGGGAGACGTTTCCATTATGTTCTTCTTGCCCTGATCTGTGGCTGCATCCGATCCCAGTCTCGGGGCTGCTTCCCGGGTGTGCCCTCCCCTCCCCCACCCCAGTCTCCAGCCCCACTCACTCACATGGTTGGCGTTTGTCTCCAGGGTGCGTCATGCTGGCAGCGGGCGGGTGCTGGAGGTGTACACCACCCAGCCCGGGGTCCAGTTTTACACGGCCAACTTCCTGGACGCCACTCTGAGGGGCAAGGGCGGAGCGGTCTACCCCAAGCACTCCGGCTTCTGCCTCGAGACCCAGAACTGGCCCGATGCGGTCAACCAGGTAAAGCCACAAGCCGACATGTCACAGTGGCCTCGTGTCCAAGGTCATGTTTTGACAGAGGTCCGGACACTTGGGTCAGGTTGTGTGAGTCAGAAGTCCACGTTTGTTCTCTTCTCCCAGTCGTGACACACATAGAACACCCAGCCAGGCGTGGTGGCGCATTCCTGTCATCCCAGCACTTTGGGAGGCTGAGGTGGGAGGATTGCTTGAGGCCAGAAGTTCAAGACCAGCCTGGGCAACATAGCAAGACATCTCTACAAAAAAATTTTTTTTAATTAGTCAGGTTTGGTGGTGCACACCTGTAGTCCTAGCTCATTGGAAGGCTGAGGCTGGAGGATCCCTTGAGCCTGCAAGGTTGAGGCTGCAGTGAGTTGCAGTCATACCACTGCACTCCAGCCTGGGTAACAGAGTGGGAACCTGTCTCTTTTTTTTGATTTCTCTTGGTTGGAGTCTCACTCTGTCGCCCAGGCTGGAAGGCAGTGGCATGCTGACAGCCACCACAGCCTCGACCTGCTGGACTCAGATGATCCATCTGCCTCAGCCTTCCATGTAGCTGGAACTACAGATTACCACACCCGGCGATTTTTTATTTTGTTGTAGAGACAAGGTCTCACCAGGCTGCCCAGGCTGGTCTCAAACTTGTGAGCTCAAGCAATCCTCTCACTTTGGCCTCCCAAAGTGCTGGGATTATAGGCATAAGCCACTGTGCTAGTCCATTTTTTTTTAATTGTAGAGATGAGGTCTCACCAAGCTTCCCAGGCTTGTCTCGAACCCATGGACTCAGGCAATCCTCTCACCTCGACCTCCCAAAGCGCTGGGATGACAGGCTTGAGCCACCGGGCCCAGACTGGAGTGCGGTGGGACAATGAGAGCTCCCTACAGCCTTGAGGGGAGTCTCCACCCATGGATTCCCGAGTAGCTGGGACTATAGGTGCATACCACTGTGCCCGGCTAATTTTTTTTGTCTTTATCTCCATAAGAGTCTCGCTGTGTTGCCCAGGCTGGTCTCAAACTCCTGGCCTCAAGCAATCCTCCCATCTCAGCCTCCCAAAGTCCTGAGATGACAGGTGTGAGCCACCGTGCCATCCTTATGTAGGAGATGTTCATTCTAAGTTCTTCAGCTCATTGCAAACTAGTCACCCACAGGTCCCATGCCGGTGTCGGTTCACAGGGCACCAGTCGAGGGGCCTGCCCAGAAGCACACCCTGACTGGGAAGGGTGCCCGTGGGCTGACCAGGGGTCACCTGTACCGTTCCTTCCCCCTCCCTCCCACAGCCCCACTTCCCGCCTGTGCTGCTGAGGCCTGGAGAGGAGTATGACCACACCACGTGGTTCAAGTTCTCTGTGGCCTGAGGAAGTGTGAAGACCTAACCCGGCCCGGGCAGCCTCCTGTCCAGAGACGAGGTCACGCCTGGGAAGCTGGAACAGATTTCCGGATTCAGATCATCCGAACAGTAGCTGGCGGTATCATCCGTCTGATCACTGATCGTTTTCTCACAACGGGCTCCAGACCATCCTGCTTTCTAAAAAACAAAGAAGCAAACAGAAAAGTGCAAAATCAAAATATCCAAAAAGAATCCGTCTTAGATTCACTGCCTTCAGGGTTCACTGAGAAAGCCCAGGCAGAAAGCCAGGTGCTGGGGCTGGGATCCGAGTTGGGGAGGGTGAGAGGGCTCCCCTTCCGCCCCTGGAGGGGGGTCCACATGGCCTGGGGCGGAGGTTGTGTCTGGAGACAAGGCTGGAGCACCTTCCTGGATCATCAAAGCACCGGTGATGGGTGTGGGTGGGTGATTTTTAAATCCATGCATTTCCTACTTGTGTACACTACAGCCCATTGAAATAAAACCAAGACCTGCATCTTCAGAAGACTCCGTGCAGCTCCTTCATGCGTCTTTAAGTCAGTCGGGGCGGGCCTCCGGGCCGTGGCCGAGTATGTGGTATGTTCTGGGCTCTGCTGTGCTGTTCACTGAGAAGCCTGGCATCTCCCCAGGGTGGAGCTACCCAGTGAGCTTGCCGTGCTTCCCCTGTGAACAACCGATAAGAGACCTCAGATATTGGCTGGACCTGGTGGCTGACGCTTGTCATCCCAGCACTTTGGGAGGCTGAGGTGGGAGGATCGCTTGACCCCAGGAGTTCCAGACCAGCCTGGGCAATTTAGTGAGACCTCGTCCCCACAAAAAAATTAAAAAATTACCTGGGGATGGTGGGGCATACCTGTAGTCCCAGCTACTCAGGAGGCTGAGGCAGGAGTGAGAGGACCGTAATAAAGTATACCATAGACTTAGGTTAAGAGCATGCTATAACCCAGTAAATATGTAATCAGCTTGTGGACAATAGCACAGCCATTTTTAGTTTTCTGTTTTAAAACATAACCTGTAGCTGTTTAAAATTTCAGTTATGGGAAAAAACTGCAAAGCTCCGGTTACAAGCTTCAACCCCTTCCCTTATCTCACTTTCCCCTTAGCAACAACCAATCAGGTGCCAGGGGGTAATCACCTGTTTCCAGATGTCTCTGCAACTTCCCTAGCTAGTGGGCCAAGGTCAGTCCGAGTCAGGCTAGCCAATCCTCCATGATTAAGCTGACCACCAGAGGTTACTACCCAATTAAATGGTAACAAAACTGGAAAGCCCCCCAAACTCCTCCTCCCTTTGTGTAAAAGCTTAAAAGGCATCTGCTTAAGGAAATCAGAGCCTCTGAATGTACTCTGCTGTGTCGGTTGACGACAGAGGCCCAGGCTCGAGCTTGCAAATAAAGACCCTCTTGAACTTTCATTGGAATTGGCTCTTGGTGGTCTCTCAGATTGAACTTTCGGCCACTACAGAAGGATCATCTGAGCATAAGCGGTCAAGGCTGCAGCGAGTCCCTACATAGTGTCATGACACTCCAGCCTGGGTAAGACCTCTGACTCAAAAAAAAAAAATTGCAACAACTGAAAGGACAGACTGAGAGTGGGAAGCCATTTTTCATCTTGTTCTTAAACCCTGACACAATGATGAGAAAGTAGAAGCTATGCTTTTGGAGAAATTCATACTTTAAGTAAAATTAACTTTGCCGACTTTGTCTTTTTAGGAACAGACTTTCTGGTGCCAGGTATCAGAGGTATCTCATAGTGTCAATCAAGCTTGCCTAGAGTAAAGGGAATTTACAAGGCCTAAGACATCATGCATTGGGCAAGGACTGTAAAAGTCATGAAACTTGTAATCACAAAAGTAGGGAGAGCAGGTGGGGATTCGATCTTCTAGTAAATTGGGCACTTTCTACAGGGAAGCCAAGGATCCCCGAAGCTACCCAATGGGAATGCCTAGGAGAAAAGGGGAGGTACACCCTCCACTAGCTTCAAGGAATGTCGTTCGGGAAGGTGCAGGAGCATTAGAATCCTTGTCACACCCTTCTCTAGGGGCTATGATGATGTGGGCGGACATTAATGGCTCTCTGTGTCACAGGATCTCCAAGACATCCACAGGTGGTCGATAAGGAAGTCACGGGCAGTCAGGCGCAGTCACGTGCAACATCTCCAAGAAACGGATTTAAGCCAAGACTTGGGGGGCTACGATGCCACACTCACCTAGAGTGTAGACCCACTCCCTGTCTGGGGGGCGGTGAACTTTTCTTAAATAAATCTTTTCTTCTCTCACCTCTGTGTGTCGCAATTCTTTGCAAGCTACTCAGATCTCTGGGTTGCCAGCGTGCACCTCTGGCTAGCCAGTCCGGCCGAGAATTATTTTTATAATAAGCCAAGTCTCTCTAGCCGAGGGAGGACATTCATCTATGTGAGGCGGGTGAAATAAGTTGCTGGCACTTTAATTGTGTTTATAAAAGAAGGCAAGGCCAGGCTTGGTGGCTCCGCCTGTAATCTCAGCATTTTGGGAGGCCGAGGCGAGTGGATTGCCTGAGCCTGCAGGTTCGAGACCAACCCGGGCAACTTGGCAAGACCTCATCTCTACAATAAAAAAATCACAAACAATTAGCCAGGCATGGTAGCCTGTGCCTGTAGTTCCAGCTACTTGGAAGGCTGAGGCAAAAGGATCGCCTGAGCCTGGCAGGCGACACTGAGGTAGCCGTGAGCGTGCCACTGCACACCAGCCTGGGTGACAGAGTGAGACTCCTACTCAAAAAAACAATAATATAAAAAAAGGCAAAAAGGCTGTTTGTCAAAAAAAAATCTTAGGAAGGGAAAAATTCAGAGAAATTCCTTTAATCTACCCTTTTTCATGAAACACACACAAGAGAGAACTTTGCTTGAGAAGAGACCTATCACATGGTCATGAGATATGTAGTGGGACTGCATGAGTATAATTTTGGAATTTTACGATGAAGTCAATGAAGGCCTCAGCAAGAAATAAAATTTTGCAAGGGAAGATGTAATCATAAAATCATTGGCCCGGCACAGTGGTTTATGCCTGTCATCCCAGCACTTAGGAAGGCTGAGGCAAGAGGACTGCCTGAGCCCAGGAACTCAAAACCAGCCTCGACAACATAGCGAGATCTCATTTCTACCAAAAAAATAAAAAAAGAGAGGTTGAAGATGGAGGATCGCCTGAGCCCAGGAGGTTGTGCCATTGCACTCCAGCCTAGGTGACAGAGTGAGACAATGACTCAAAAAAAAATTTTTTTTCTAAATGTTTTTAAGCAGAGATTATAAAACAGAACCAGGTGACAAGTTTGATGTTGGAAACGGTACAGTCAGTCAGGCATGGTGGCTCATGCCTGCCATCCCAGCACTTTGGGAGGCGGAGGTGAGAGGATTGCCTGAATGCACAGGTTCAAGACTAGCCTGGGGAATATGGCGAGACCTTGTCTCTACAATAAAAAAAATGAGCTCGGCATGGTGGCACACACCTATAGTTCCAACTACTTGGAAAGCTGAGGTGGAAGGATCTCCTGAGCCCAGCAGGTCAAGGCTGGGATGGCCATGAGCATGCCACTGCACTCCAGCCTAGGTGAGAATGAGACTACAACTCAAAAAAAAAGACAGTACAACGACTCATGAAAAGTTAACTAGCTCTATATCTAACTAGCATCAGAAGTAGATTTGAGATGGCAGAAGAATGAATAAGTGAACGTAAAAGTAAGATTAACAGAAATTACTCAATCTGAAAAACAGAAAAGCGACTGTAGAAAATGAAAGAGAACCTCAGAGACCTGTGAGACCACATCAGGCATAGCAGCATCCATGTTGTTTCAAATGCTGTAGTTTTGTTCTTGGCCAAGGAGGAGAGGGACTGAGAAAGTATTTGAAAAAAAAACTGGCCAGGTTCAGGGGCTCATGCCTGTAATCCCAGCACTTTGGGAGCCTGAGGCAAATCCAACCTAACTACACCAATAATCCATTACATGTAGATGGTTTAAATATTCCAAGAGGCAGTTTGTCAAACAATTACAAACCAAGATCCAACAACCACCTGCTTTCTGCAGAGACTTGCCCTGGACACAAAAAAGTGGGAAGTAAATGGAGAAGATATACCACACTAACAGTAATCATGAGAGAGCTAGAGTGGCCGCGAGAAATAGCAAAACTCACTCTTTTTTTTGAGTCGGAGTCTCACTCTGTCACCCAGGCTGGAGTGCAGTGGCACACTCACAGCCACCCCAGTGTCCACCTGCTGGGCTCAGGTGATCCTTCTGCCTCAGCCTTCTCAGTAGCTAGAACTACAGGTGTGCACCACCTTGCCCAGCTAGTTTTTTGATTTATTGTAGAGATTAGGTCTTGCCAAATTGCCCAGGCGGGTCCCAAACTCCTGAACTCAAGCAGTCCTCTTGCCTCTGCCTCCCAAAGTGCTGGAATGACAGGCGTGAGCCACTGTGCCCAGCACAAATATTCCTGGAGACGGAGATACTTCACAATGATAAAAAGTACCAACAAGTCAGCAAGATATAACAATGACACATTTATGTTTGCACCTCATCATAGAACCCCCAGTGCTTGGAACCAGTCATTTTTGTGGCCAGAGGCCAGGGCAGCTACTGCCTGAGTGCCAGGCATAACCCAATAGTTCTGGTAAACACTACTCCAAATTTTCTGAATAGAATGTTCATTTTTTAAAAAATGAGTATTTATTTGAGTACAGTGACCTCTACTGGCACTAATATAAATTAAAGTGCAGTTTCTGCATCTTTTATAGAAAGATTCCATTCCAGTACAGGTGGGGTCATTTGGTTAGAGACAATCAAGAACATCTAGAGGAATACCCCTCACCATTTTTTTTCCTTGAGTCAGGGTTTCACTCTGTCATCCAGGCTGGAGTGCAGTGGCGTGACAATGGCTTACTGCACCCTCAAACTCCAGGGCTCAGGGCAATCCTTCTGCCTAAGCCTCCCTAGTAGCTGGGACTATAGGCACCAGCGACCATGT